GGCGGGGGCGGGGCAGGGCCCTGGCGGGGCGGGGCTTGGGCTTCAGGGGCAGGGCTGTGCGGCACTTGGGCCCGGGACGGTGGGGCTGGGGTTGTGCGTCCAAATTCTGGGTCCACCTAGGCGCGAGATGTTGGGAGAGGAGTCCGGATTCTTTGTCACCTAATGCATCAGGGACTGGGTCTCCTTGGGATCCCACATTCCAGGAAGCCTGCCCCGTGGGGCGGTAGTGTGGACTTTTCTGTGGGACGTGGGGACAGAGGGTCCGGATATTCGAGGAGCCGGGATTGGAATCCCAGAACACCGGAATTATTTACTGGGAAATGAACTGCGCTCCAGAGTCTGGGCCCGGAATCGGTGGAGTGGGGAAGGACCGTAGCTGCTAGGCCCTCTGCAGGGGAGAAAGCAAGGACGGGGCACAGACTTCTGTTTCACCAGGACATAAGAGATTGGCAGCCCTAGTTGCTGGGTCCTCCAGTGGAGAGGAGCTAGGGCCGGCAGTCCCGGAGTCCTCTAGAGGGGAAAAGGTCGGGGATCTTCATTCTGGGTCTTCCGTTGGGGCAAGGACCGAGAGCTTTCTATGTTCCTGGGAGAGGAGGGGCCTGGGATCCCAGAATCCTGTGTATCTCAGTGGCGAGGGAGAAGGTCCAGGGGTCCGTTTGTCAGCGTGCCCCCCAGAGAGCAGGAGGGACTGGACCTTTGGAAATTGAGAGGTTCGAGCTGAGAGACCCCAGGGAGCAAAAGGAAAAGTGTGCTCCCTCGGGCACTTGGGGGTCTCCACGGGCGGACTGCAGGTTGGGGATTCCTGGACACACCTGCCCCTGGCCGGAGCTCCGGGCGGAACCGGGGCCCTCCCCTTCCCAGCCGCACATTCCCGCGCCACGTGAGTCCTCTCCTCCCTCCTCCCTGCTGCTCACTTCGCGCACGCGTGGTCACGCGGAAGGGGCGGGGCCTGGGGAACTAGAGGGCGCCCGTGGCGGCGGGGGGCGGGGCGGGAAAGCAGGCGCCCGCACGTGACTGGCCGTGAACCCGTATCCTCAGCTGACCCCGGCTTGCTCGCTCTTAAAGGCACCGGCCGGCCCTGCCCCTTCTCCTAAACCAACCTCCCCAAAACCTCAATCATTTCTGCTTTTCTTCCCTTACTCGTCAGGGCCAGTAGCTCTTAAGCGGCTCACCTGAAGTCTTTTCAATGCACTGGATTTCTTTTCCCTGAACAGCTTGGGGTCTAGGCTTTGGTCAGGGATTCAGGCTAGATAATGGGAAAGGAGCTAACGCTGTGAATCTGAAGGCCTGAGGTTCCAGAAGCAATAGAGGAGGCTCGTGTGTTACTTAGGGTATGTCAGTTATAATTGGGCCTGTTTCCCTGTTATAAAAGTGGAATTGGTTCCATGATGTCTAAGCACGTTGTAGCTTAGAGAACCTTCGTATTTTATATTAGAGAGGTTGATCTCTGGTGGGCTTTGTAGTAGATCTCATAAGGGCCTTCCTTGTGGTCGAAGAGATACCTGAGCAGGGGGTAGCCTCTGGGAACCCTCCCTCCCCCAAAGAAACACACACTCAAGCGGCACATTCTGTTTCCCCAAGGCCTGACCTCTCGGGACACACCCAGCCCGGTGGACCCAGACACCGTGGAGGTGCTGATGACATTTGAACCTGACCCAGCCGATTTAGCCCTGTCAAGCATTCCTGGCCACGAGACCTTTGACCCTCGGAGACATCGCTTCTCAGAGGAGGAGCTTAAGCCCCAGCCCATCATGAAGAAGGCCCGGAAGATCCAGGTGCCAGAGGAGCAGAAGGTGAGCACTGCCCGATGTAGGATGCAGGCATGGCCCTTACAGGTCCCACAGCCGGGGATGGCCCTTTCCTCACAGACAGGCCTGGGCTTCTCACCGCGGTTAGCTCTCAGGTTCTCTTAACCTGCAGCCAAGCATCAGTTGTCCATAGCCCTGGGGCGCAAAGACAGCCGAGGTTTGGGCTTGAGATTTACGAATATGGTGTCGCTGTGGAATGCAGACTCAGCCAGCCCCGCCAGACCCACCAGTACAGACTTGGTGCTTTGACCAGGCCCTGTTGCTAAGGACAGCATTCATTAACAGCAGTATCAGTCTGTTTCTTCAGAGCCGCTAGCCGGGCTCTGGTCCTTTGATCTCTGACTTGGGGCATCCTTCGGGGTGCTTGCATCTGCCTAGGATGCAGACTTTGCCAGCCCCTCTGGGCCTTGTTTCCTGGGCCTGGACTGCTCATTGGTAAGAGGTTTCAAGTTCCCATTAGCAACCAGAGCCACATTCTGATTTGGGGCAGTGACCATTTTTTTTTTCTAGCAGCCTGCCTTTGCCAGTTCTGGGGTCTCCCCTGGTAAGGGGTGCCTGGGCTCCTCTCACCAGACTTCACCATAACTACCTGAAGCACTGAGGGCTGACCTGTAAACCCAGTCTAGACCAGTGATTTTTCCTGTCACAGGGCCCGACTGGATTTACCCTAGTAAGCAGGAACTAGGCTTTAATGAAATGGGGGTGGGAGGAGAGCATCTTTTGGAGCTCTGGGTGGTCCTTGTTACTGAGGAGTGATCCTCCTCCACAGTCAAATTCTAGGACTGGAGGACCCTAAACAGTGGCGTAGGGAGGTCTCAGGATAGGCCCCTTTGCTACGGGACAGCTCTTCTAGCAGTCAGGACCTGTGGGGGAGAAGGCAGCTCTCTCGCCTCCTCCATTCAAGGCCAGAGGGTCAAAGACTGGCTGCAGTTATCGGGACCACCTAAATTGCTGGGGAAGGATGAGGTTGCCTTGACAACTAGGTCAAAAGGCCCCAGCTCTGGAAGGATTTATGGGACACAAAACCCCATCACTAGGGAGCCTAGGCTTTCCTTAGCAACCAGGATCTGAGAAGGTGGTGCATAAAGCAGTGCTTTTTACTGGGAGAAGCCCTCAGACCCTGAAGGCCCTGTTGCTAGGGAACAAACATCCTTAGCAACCAGGGGCTAACTGTAGGCCCTTTGTCAAGCAAGGACTGGTGGGGTCTGCTCTGCACAGCGGAGACTTGAAGCCTAGTGCTTGCAGTGGGGAGAACTATCTCACACCTAGCTGTTGCTAGGGGCCTGCTCTCCTTAGCAACCAGACCCTTGGGTACCCATCCTAGGAGAGCCGTGGTATCCTTTGGGCCCCACTGCTGGGCAGGAAGCACCCCAGAGGGTCTCTTAGCTGCCCTCTGGTCCTTGAAGGCACAAGGAAAGCTGCTCCTCCTGGCCCTTCTGGCCCATAGTGCCTTCTCAAACCCCACCCTCAGGACGAGAAGTATTGGAGCCGGCGGTACAAGAATAACGAGGCAGCCAAGAGGTCCCGAGATGCCCGGCGGCTCAAGGAGAACCAGATATCGGTACGGGCGGCCTTCCTGGAGAAGGAGAACGCCCTGCTGCGGCAGGAAGTGGTGGCCGTGCGCCAGGAGCTGTCCCACTACCGCGCCGTGCTGTCCCGATACCAGGCCCAGCACGGAGCCCTGTGAGGCCGTCCCCCGCCCCTGCCCGGCGGCCTCGCTCAGACTTGCGCCCTGAGGCCCTCTTCCCTCCCCGCCCTGTGGCCCACCGGCCGGCCAGCTGGGTGCCCCAGGGACGTGATGATGCAGATAAATACATTTATATTTTTAAGAAAAAGCGAGCCTCCCCCCTCCCTCGCGGGGGCGGGGAGGGTCCTCTGTGTGTGCCCCTACCACTTCGGGGACCCCATCCTCCCACCGCCTCCGTTAACACATCCTGAATAAATCTTGAGAACCCCAGAGCCAGCTGTTGTGGGGGAGGAGGCAGCTCCCTGGCCCCAGTTCAAGGCCCTCGGGTCACACTGGCCGCGGTCTGTGGGCAGGTCTGGGCTTCGGTCCATAAAACGCAGGAGCTCCTGGAAGCGCCTAGAATTGGATCCCTCCCACGGGCTGCCGGATGCAGAAGGGGCGACGGTCTGAGAGGAATGAAGCGACTGCCTTTATTGCATAGACCTTTTCAATTGCTTTGAAGATTGGGGTCAGGGGACGCACAAGAGACAGAAGACGGGAGAAATGAGTTTCCTCGTCCCCACCGGCGGGGGGTGGGAGGAACATTAGTGCAAATCCGAGCGTCGGCCCCGGGGAACCTGCCCCTCCTGGGCTGATTGGCCAGTTAAGTGGAGGCACCGGAGTGGGTAGGGCGAGACCCGGGCCCTGACTGGCCAATTAACTAAGGCCTCCCCGGCCGGTACATGCCAGGTCCCGTCATTGGACAACGCGTAAGACAGTCTCCGCCCTCAGCGGACCTGGCCTCCCACGAGCCGGAAGCGAGGGTCTGGACCGAGCTCCGCCCTCATTAGTCAGGCACTACCCTCGGGGCCAGCCCGTTTGTCGGTGACCATGATGACCCCGACCCCCTGGAGTTCGGGCCACACTCCTTCCCACATTACCTCTGGTCCCCTGGGGGCCGGCGCAATCCTGAGACGGGGCAGGGGTCCCTGCGTGTGGGGCCTTCACCCTAACTCTAGCAGCCAGGCCACGCCCCTAGGCCCCGCCCCGCCTCCTCGGAATGCTGGCCCCGCCCCCGGCAGGCAGCAAGCTTCCTTAGGGTCAAGGCTCCAGGCCCGGGCGGCCCGGAGGCCCAGTGAGCAGGGTGCCGAGGCCTGGATGCACCTGCGCCTGCAGTGGCCCATACTCCACTTGCTCTCCGTCCACAGTGAGCACGCCGCGAGGCGTGAGAGGCTCGAGGCGAAAGGCACGGGCCGCGGCGTAGCCCAGCTGCGGGCAGCCCAGGCTGAAGTGGCTGCCTCGCTCCATGGCCAGAAAAAGGCGCAGCAGCGCCGCCCGCGAGATGCCACCGCGCACCCAGCAGAGGTGCACCAGGCCGTCGTCAAAGCGCGCATGGGGAGCTGCCACCAGGTCAGCCCCCAGGTGGCTGGGTGAGATGGCCAACATAAGCACAAAGTCCCCCTCAAGTGTCACCCACCCCGGGGGCAGTGGGGCGCCCAGAGGTGGGAGCAGGTGGTCAGGTGGGCCCCCGGTAGCGATGTCTCCCAGGGCATCAGGGGTGGGAGGTGGGAGCCCAGAGGAGGCTGGCATTTCTGGGACCCCCTCGGTGATGGGTGACAGTAGAGCCTTAGGGGAGCTAGGTGGTGAGGGCAGCAGGGGGTCTGGGGACAGTGGGGCATCCCCAGCCCCACCCCAGTCCCCGACCAACTCTGGGCCCCCCCCATTGAGGGACAGGATGGGCAGGGGCTCAGGTGAGCCAGGGGAGGTCAGGGCAGGCTGGGGCAGGGGCAGAGGCAGATCAGACACTGAGCGATGCAGGGGTGAGTGTGTCACAGGCGGGGCCGGGGCCGGGGCCGGGACCAGGGTCAGCTCGGACTTGGCACGGGGCAGGCCGTGGGCAGGGGTGGGGGAGGCAGGTTCCACAGCGGCAGGGAGGTAGGAGAGGCGTCCGCGGTAGGTGTGCAGGGTGGCAAGGCCCAGCACCGTGCCCAGTGTGAAGCGGGCACTGCCCAGGGCCCTGAAGCGCTCGCTCTGGATGTCCACGTCTGACACGAAGCCCCAGGCCACAGACAGGAAGGAGAAACAGCGGGAGCCCGAGGCCAGCGTCACAGAGAGCAGGTCCAGCGGGCGGCTGCCCCCCCGGCAGAGGAGCAGCGAGCAGTTGAGCAGCAGGTCGACACCCAGGGCAGGTTCAAACCTTCACAGCCAGAGACAGACGGACAGGGAGGGAAAGAGTAAACAGGGTGGTGTGAGAGACCCAGAACGCAGGGTGGCAGGAGAAAGACACAGAAAGGTGGGGGTGCAGACAGCTGGGGGACCACATGGCCACCTCCGGATGGACTCTTCCTACTGAGCCAGGTTCCCTGTCCGCTCTCTCATCCATAAGCATTCACTCAGTGCCGCCTGTGGGCCAGGCACGGTTCTGGGCACTAGGGATACAGCTGGGGGGAGGGGCGGCGTGGGGAGCATCCCAGCCAAGACTGATGGACTTGACTGACCGTGGACTGCCCGGGGGAGACGTGCGGATAGACGTGCCAGGTTGCAGGAGGGCTCATCCCTCCCCTCACGGTAAGCAGGCTGGCGGAGGCGGGACCCCACCTACCCCCCGTGCTGGTTCACAGCTCCAGCCAGGGCGTTGCCTGAGCCACAAGGGAGGATGCCCACGGGTGTCTTCACAGCTTCTTCCCAGTCAGGGCGGTCTAGGAGTCCGTTCAGCACCTGCAGGGCGGGACACCGGCCATCTGGGTCCTGGTCCTAGCGCCAGGCTCGAGAGTCCCCCAGGGCTCAGGTAGGGTGCCCCTGCCCTACCTCGAAGAGCAGCCCGTCTCCCGAGACTGTGACAATGCCGTCCCACTCACTCAGGCTCAGCCCCTGAACCAGCTCCCGGGCGTGGTTCTGCCGTTCTAACGTGGGGGAACCAGGAGGTGAGCCAGGCTGTTCCACTCTGCCCCGCCACCACTCCCCAGCACTCAGAACTCGGGAGTCCTGGCACCCCCGGGCCCCTACTTCCATCCTGGCATGGCCCTTACCTGTCTGGATGAGGTTGAAGGACAGCCCGGCTTCAGAGATCATGGGCAGCACGTGGTTCTTACACCACTGCCAGGCCAGACCCCGCCCCCCGTAGGGATTGACCAATAGGAGCAATCGGGGTGGCCTTGGCAGCAGCTCCAGGGTTATTTCTGCAAAGAGAGGGGAAGGAGTCTACAGAGGCCCCAGACCTGGGCCCCTCACCTCAGAAGCCGGAACTGCAAACAGCCCCCAGTGGAGGTGCTGGAGGCCTGGCACAGTGGCCTGCTGGGAATTCACAGTTTTTCTCCAGGGCTTCAGCTGCCTAGGCTCAGGTGTGCAGCCCCGCCCTGCTCTTGAGGGGCCGAGACAAAGGCAGGGCTTGGTGTCTAATCCCAGTGCCCTTTGGACCCATTTGTGGGAAGAGGGAGACCTGTGGGTTCCACTTTATCCTCAAACACCTGGAATCCAGGATCAGGTTACGACACTGCAAGGCTCCCTCACTGTCACCATCCCTTAGGGCCCCCAACCAGCCAGCAGGATCCTGGAAGACCAAGGGAGGCTCACCAGATGCGGACCCTTGAACCTTTACCTTCCTGTGTCAAATGAGGAGCCTGGGTGGGGACCTCTGCCCAAAAGCCTTCTCTGACTCCACACCACCCCCCCCCCCCCTTAGGCTGGATTAGATGCCACCTCTGAGCTCCTGGCACGCCCTAGGGGACTTCTGTGAGTGCCTGTCACCCTGGGTGGTGACTAATCATGTCTCAGTCTGCTGCTCGCACCAGACGGGGAGCCTCTGACTCATCTGTGTGGTCAGGGCCCATGGAGGCGGGGGAGGGGACAGAGACAAAAATCTATGAGAAGAGCAGACACAAATCATTTTTCTCTGCCTGTGGTTGCTCTTCCTTCTGTAGCCCATCGCCATGTGTCTAGCCCTCTTTCAATACGGACCAAGACAGACATATCACAGACAGACACACAGGAGAGAAGAGACAGAGGTGTCCACAGAGGGAAATCCACAGAGACGCCGAGGTGGCCCTAGGACAGAGCGGCTGCGTAGTGCCTCACCCCCGTCCCCAGGCAGTGGCAGTCCACGGAGCAGACACATGAGGGCAGTGGCCCAGCGCTGGGCCTCAGCGCGGTTCTCCTCGTAGGTGGCTGCCCCGTCGGCCCGAAAGGTGCGGGCAGCTCTGCGGCGGCCCCCGCGCCGGCCCTGCGGGTAGGTGTAGATGCAGAAGTAGGCTGCCGAGTCGGAGGGGTTGCGGCTCCGCAGGGTGCAGCAGCCTGATACCTCGGCCAGCGGGACCAGGCCGCCCCGGGGCCGGGCTTCGGGCTTCGGGCGTAGCCGCTGTATGTGCAGGGCCTGTGGTGTGAGAGTGAGGGCTAAGCGGGATCCCCGGGCCGGGTAGGAGCCGAACTCGCCATGCAGGAGCGGGGTGCTGGCGGCCAATGGTGGCGGCGGTGGGGGGGCCATGGCCTCGGCCCTGTCCAGGGCGCTTCTAGGCCTGTGGCCCCAGCTGCAGGTCAGCTCCTGGTCTGGCCTCTGTGGGGAGGGAGGAGGGCAGGAGTCAGAGTCCAAGACCCCTGTGGCAGGTAGAGAGAAGCAGGGGCAGGGCCTGTGGACAGGAGACAACAAGGGGCAGTGACAGGCAAGATGGGGGCATCAGAGACAGACAGGCTCAGACAAGTGTGGGGAGACCCTGAGGACACGGGGCAGAAGCCCGTTGTATAGGAAGGCCAGCATCCTGGAGGGTGGACAGCCAGGCATGCAAACGTTCATTCATTTATTCCCCAAATAATTACTCAGTACCCTCTATGTGCCAATCACAGTGCCAGGCCCAGCAAACACAGCAGGGAACAAAACAGACAAAAGTCCCTGCCTTTGTGGAGTTCATATTCTCTTAGGAAGACAGAAAAACAAAAGAAAGAAGTCAAATATATAGTATGCTGGATAATAAGGGCTTTGGAGAAGTATGAGAGGAGAGAGAGCTGGATGGTGGAGACATGCACAGACGGAGAACACAAACACACACATACACACGCGCGCACACGGTCATCTCCGGATGGAGAAAGTTACACGGGAGAGACACTCGGATACAAAGAAAGAGAGGGATACGATCTAAGAACCAGAGAAACTCCGAGAGCAGACAACCAGCTTCGATGAGATGAAAGCCAGGATGATGAGAGATACTTAGGAGAGTCAGAGTGTAGGGGCCCCAGGAGGACCTCTGAGGGTCAGAAAGACAAAGGACAGAAAGAGCAGCTAGGAGGGGCCGGAGGGAGGGGTGTAGACAGCTGGAGAGACCAAGAAGGGATGTGACATGGAGGAACTGAGGAGTCAGAGAGCTACAGGAGCCACATGCAGGCGCCTGCGAGGGACAGGGGCCAAGAGCTGGACCCCGAGCACTGACCTGGGCGTCTGGCCGCCTGCTCTCCAGGGAGGGGGTGGGAGCCGGGCCTGAGGTCCCCTCCCCAGAGGCCTTCCCCCTGCCCTCTGCCCAGTTTCTGCCTCCTTCCTGCTCACCTTTGTTCCCCACCGCCCCGCCCACCCAGCCAGCTGCCAGGCCTGCCCCTCACCTTCCCCGGCCCAGAGCAGCCCCAGATGCACCCCCTCTGTGGACTCACCCTCAGAAGTCACCTCTGCCCCCAGCCCTGAGCAGCTCCCTCGGGCCCCGCCCCTAAACTTGCACTGACCAGAGCCCCCATCCCTGAGCTCAGAGCAGGCTTAGATACAGAGTCCTAGATCTCCTCCTGTCCTGGGCCTGAGCCTCTGTCCCTAGGTCCTCAAGTCTCTGGCCTGGTCTCCATTCTCTCCACCCACCCTGGTACCCCCAGACCTGGGCCTGGGTCTCCATCCAAAGGTTCCCCCCCAATCCATAAGCCTGAGTCTCTGTCGCCGGTTCCTCCGGTCCCGGTCCTCCATCCCCATCCATTTCCAGAACCCAGTCCCAGACCTGGGTTTCCATTTCTGGATCCCTCAGTCCCGGTTTTGGTTTTCCATCTCCATCCCACACCCCCTGGTACCCCAGTCCCGGCCTGCGTCTCCGTTCCTCTTGGTCCCGCGGTCCCCCAGACTCGGGACCCTGACCCTACCCCCGCACCCTCCTCACACGCCGAGTCCTCCTGCAGGCGGCCCCTCAAGTCAGCACCAACCGCCCCCATCAGACCCAGGGGTGGGGGGAGGGTGTGCATCCGCTCAGCCAATGGGCGCGCGGCCGGCCTGAGCCGCGCCAGTGAGAGCGCGCGGGGGACGGGGCCGGCCAGCTCGCGAGCTTGGCGCAGATGCCAGCCGAGGGACAGCTTGAGAACTGGGCGGGGCATCGCGCTTCGCGAGATCGGCTGCCATAGTAAGTGAGGGCACGCGCGCAGCAGAGGAAGCGTCACGACCCCACAGACAGCGCCGCTGACGCCATCTTTGTGGAGGGCAAGTGGTAGCCCTGCCCCATCCATTGAGTTTTTAAAAGAGGCAGGAGGGAGGAGACTTTCAGTTGCCGATAGAGACTGACCCTAACACGTCACCAAAACCCAGAGCTATGCAAACGGAGTTAATAAAAGAGACCCAGAAAAGCAGAGTCAGAGGCAGTAAGAGACTTAGAGAGAGGGCTGCCTGTTTTTCAGATAGTTACAGAAAGACAGAGATATATACAAAGAGACAAAGACAATAGAATTGAGAATATGCAAGGTTAAGGATACAAGAAAACCCAGAAAATGATGGACATAGAGATGGAGACAGATACTTCTGGAATGAAAATCAGGGAGGACAGGCTCATTAATTCACCAAGTATATACCTTGGACTCAAACCAGAGTGGAGGCAGCATGACATGGACATCTGCCCAGCAAATGACCCAGTAACATGGCAAGCAAGACAGAGAAACAAGGAGAGAGATGGGGAGAAACAGTATCCGAGAGAGACTTCTAGGCCAGGGGTGAGGGAGGAAGACAATGTTGGAGGACCAGAAGCTGAGAGGAAGTGAGCCCGAGAGACAGCAAAAATGTTGACAGAGAGACATAGAGAGGCAAAGACATAGTGAAGCGGAAAGAAAGCAAGGCAAGAATAATACCAGGACACCAAGAAACAGAATCGTAGAAAGACACATGCAGAAGGAGACAGGGACAGAATTTGCTAGAAAGCAATGAATGGAAGATGTTTTTTTATTGTCAAACAACGTACCTTGTGTTCAACCCAGAGCAGCAACAGCAAAAGAAATACCCAGAGAGGGGCGCCTGGGTGGCTCAGTCGTTAAGCGTCTGCCTTTAGCTCAGGTCATGATCCCAGGGTCCTGGGATCGAGCCCCGCATCGGGCTCCCCGGTCCGCGGGAAGCCTGCTTCTCCCCCTCCCACTCTCCCTGCTTGTGTTCCCTCTCTCGCTGTGTCTCTCTCTGTCAAATAAACAAAATCTTTAAAAAAGAAAGAAAGAAAGAAAGAAATACCCAGAGAGAGGGTGGGGTGGGGTGGGGACAGAAACCCAGGAAGAAGGAGAGACAGGGAACCACACACCTTAGTTTGGGAGAAAGAAAAGCAGGTACACTGGACCGACAAACAGGCTGGGACTCAAAGACAGAGACCAAGTCACCAAGGCAAGGGAACAGAGACAAGGAGGAAACTGTGTCCCGTGGTGTGGTAATCTTAACTTCCAGAGGGACCCTTACCTGATCCTGCTGTTCCTCTGCTTCCAGGTGTCCATTCATCTGCTGGCCCTCTGCTGTGTTACCCCATCAGCAAGACCCTGGTCCTGGGCGGCAGGCCATGGGAGGGTGGTATGGGCAAGGAGTCAGGCCTCACAGTTGGGGCCTGGCCTTTGGCTCTGTGGAGGACAGGTCAAAAGGTAGGAGCATCAGGGGCAGACTTCGGGCTGGGCTGGATGTGTTGGAGGCCAAAGGGGCAGGGCTTCCCTGAGGAAAGAGAAAAGAGGGGACAGGTCAGCTTCGTCACTGCCCCAGCCAGTCCATCTGGTCCTACCCAAAAAGGGCTAACAGTAGGAATGGAGGCTAATTTGTATTGAGCACTTATATGCAAAGCATTGTTTTAAGCATTTATACTAACTTACATAAAGCTGGAAAATACTCTAGGTGTCAAGCCTATTATCCCCTTTTTTGAGGATAAGGAAAGTAAGGCACAGAGAGGTTAAGTGACTTGCTCAAGGTCACAGTGTTGTTAGTAATTAGCACGGCCAGGATTTGAATTTGGTTACAGCAGACAAGACCCCATCTCACTATCTTTCTATGTCTGTGCTTCTCCCCAGATCTCCATCCTCCCTCTCTTTCTAGGTCTCCTTGTCACCCCCTGGGTCTCCATTTCCCTCACTCTCGGTCTCTGTCCACTACCGCTCTGGGCCTCCAATCCTCCTCCCCTCTGAATCTTTATTTCCTAAGTCTCTCCTCCCTTCTCTTTCAAGAGACTTTTACCTATTCCCTCTCCACCCCACACCCCAAGCCTGGGGCTTCAGTGCGCCTCCTCTGCACTCCAGTACCGTGCAAAGCCCTCACGCAGAGTGCGCTGGGCGACTCGAATCTCTCCAGCAGGGAAAAGCAGCCCCCAAGTGGTAGAGGCTAAGGAGGGGTCAGAGAAGGGGCAGGGGGAGAAGACGAATATAAAAATTGGAAATAGAGAATGCTATAGACTGGGCTGCAGCAAGAAGATCTCAGGTTAGATCTCAGGTAGGACTTCCCGAGCTGTGGCTGCGCCTAGGAAGCGCCGCACGAGACAGGAGAGGTGAGCCTGATAAGGAAATGCCTGAAGCGTGGGGTCAGAGGTTTCCCGAGGTCCTGACAAGGCCCGCCAGCTCCGCCTCCTCACCTCCAATACGCGGCCCGCCGGGTCCTCCAGGAGCCACAGAGAGACCGTCGGCGTCGGGCCAGAGCGTCACTGTGCGACGCGGCCTCCTATCGCCGCGCGACATCTCTCTCGCTCCCAGATGCCTTTCTTCCGGAAGACTATCGAGAACAGGGCCTGGGTAGGGCCAGAGAGGCCCCCGACGTGCTGGCCCGCCCCCGCCCAGCCCTTGACGTATCGCTTGTTCCCGGTGGGTTGTTCCTCCACTTATTCCGGAATCGCCCATTCGGCCGCTCTGCGACTCGCCATAGAGAGGCTCGACTGGAGTAGAGCGCCGTGCGGCGCCCGTGTGACGTCACGTAGGCGCCACTCGCTGAAGGCTTTCCCCGCCCACCCCGACGCTGTTCTCTCTTTCCGGACCTGGCTGAGCAGGAGGAGCCATCATGGTGAGCGTGCTTTGAGGTGCTCCGGACTCGACTATCCGCCGCCATCCGTCGCGGTCTTGGGCTGGGGGAGTCCCGGAGGGGAGCAGGGATGTCAGGGGAGTTCGAAGGGGGCGACTTCCGCGGTGGGGGGGGACTATTTTGGGGGCTCGAAAACCAGGGATGGGTCAGTCTTACCAGCCTCCGGCCCTTCTCGTCCCCTTTTATTTATTAAAGCTCCAATTGAGTAGATGACCAAATTGAGGCGCAAGGAGGTTAAGTGATGTGACCGGGGTCACAATGCCAGGAAGTGGCAGAGCCGGGATTCGGACCCTGGCGTTGGCCCCACATCCATGTTTGATCTCTTGTCTTTTGCCTCCTCTACCTGGACCTGTCACTCCCCTGGCCGGGAACGTTGGGTTCTGGGGCGGGGTGGGGGTGAGGGGGTCTCCACCGTCCAGTGCCTGGGTTTTGCGGCCAGGCTCCCCATCCAGCCTGTGATCTTGCTTTTCCTGCCGGTAAGCCCAGTTTTTTGGTCTGTGCATTGGGGCCGTGGTAATACTGTGTCACAGATACGCGTTTGGGAAGAAGTTGTAGGACGCACACATCAGATTATGGCATACGTTAAATGTTGGAGAAAAGGGAGCTGCGAATAACTCAGTGGTTGTTTACCGTTCCTAACACGGCCTATTAGACAATCTCAGGCCAGCAGCCGGGGTGTGGTGGAAATTGTGGCTTCCTTCGGTTTTCTCAGCTAAAGTGGGAAACTGCCTCATGGAGGTCGTGCATGGAAGGTTCTAGTACTGGAGTAAGTCCCAGATAAAGGTTCTTTGCTCTGTTATCAGGTAGAGTCTGCTTTTGGCCTGTATTATTGAAAAGCACATCTTTTAAAGAGTTAAAACTTAATTGAGTGAGCGCGACTGCCGTGTTGAAGCTTCTCAAGGTGCTGTGCGCCATGTCCTGAAGGCTTTGCATGTGGAATTCATATTTTTCTTAAATTGGGGTCATTTGAGGCCCGGAAGATTTAAGTGGCTTTTCACGGGTCTCCTCAGGGTGGACCTGGGGTTTGTTGTCTCTTCGGAGACTGGGGCCCTGGCTCTTCCTCGGAGATGGGTAATACAGTCGTTTTGGGGGTGAGTGATCTGCCAGAAGAGATTTGGGTCCATGGTTTCCTTAACCTTGCAGGGAGTTGACATCCGCCACAACAAGGACCGAAAGGTTCGGCGCAAGGAGCCCAAGAGCCAGGACATCTACCTGAGACTGTTGGTCAAGGTGAGGCTGAGGTCTGAGACCCTCAGGGCCGCCCAGAACTGCAGCTTCTAGAACCGACGTTCTAGTATTGGGCCCCAGGCTGCTCCAGGGGCCTGCGGGACGGGCGCCCATCTGTGGTTCTGCCCGAGGCTTCTGGGGGTTCAGTGTTTCAGTCTCTGGGCTGTATACAGCTGGGGAGGGGATTTGGGGGGCTCTCTGGGGCTCAGTGGGATGGGGGAAAGCCGTAAAAACCTTATCCCAAACCATGCTTTTTTGTCTTTAATTGAAGGTTGCGGGGGGAGGGGTGTGGGCTACCCTGGGTTCCCATCCTTTTCTCTCCCCTCCAGCTGTACAGGTTTCTGGCCAGACGAACCAACTCTACCTTTAACCAAGTCGTGTTGAAGAGGCTGTTCATGAGTCGCACCAACCGGCCACCTCTGTCACTTTCCCGGATGGTGAGGGGCTGATTCGGGGAATGACTAGATTGTGTCTCTGGGAGGGGGGCTTGGGGCCTGGCCATCAGCTGGTTTACTTCACCCTGTGGTGGGCACAGAGCTCCGACCCTTGACCTTAAGGTTGTAGCTGAACAGCGGTGGGTATTTGAGTGGCTTGGGCTTATCTCACGGTGAAGTGGTGGTTGTAGTGGTTTCAAGTCACGTGAGGCACGTCTTAACACGTTCTAAGTTGTCTTGAAGGAGAGACCTGTTGAAGGGCCTGTGCATTTTGTCTCCAGGGTTTTTTCCCCGGCTGGACCCGAGATTAGGCCTGGACTGGTTGAGAGGCGAGGCCTGGGTGGGTTTATCCCCTTCAGGGCCCAACTGTCTCCATCCTTGGGATGCCTGACACAGTGGGGTTGGATTTAAACACCAGAAGGAGCGGGCGCCTGGGTGGCTCAGTTGGTGAGGTGTCTGCCTTCAGCTCAGGTCGTGATCCCGGGGTCCTGGGATTGGGTCCCGCATCAGGCTCCCTGCTCCGCGGGGAGCCTGCTTCTCCCCCTCTTTCTTTTACTTATGAATAGATAAGTGAAATATTTAAAAATAAGTAAACACCAGGAGGAGCTTTTTTGTTTGCATTTGTTCTTCCCTCAAAGATCCGGAAGATGAAGCTGCCTGGCCGGGAGAACAAAACAGCTGTGGTTGTAGGGACCATAACCGACGACGTGCGTGTCCAGGAGGTGCCCAAACTGAAGGTGAGTGTGGAGGGGGCTCAGGAGCATGGTGGGTGGGCAAGAGCCCAGACCTGGCTCGTGTCCTCGCTCTGCTGATGACCTCTGTCAGAGGTGCCACGAGGCTTGGGATGCCTTCCCAGTCTCCTCTCTGCTCTGGGTGAGGCAGGCATCCCACCTACCGGTCTGGGTGGCTTTTAGGATTGAAGGGGGGTTGTCCATGGCGTTAGCCATGGTGGGTGTCGCCGGGCAAGACCCTGATGGTGGTGCTGGTTTTTGAGCCTTATAGCTTGTCTTCAAATCTAGATTTTTCGGCCGGTTTATGGCCTGTGGACTAAAGTCATGGGTCTTTTTAATGCCTCCGTTTCCTTATCCGTGATGAGTTCAGGTTGTTGCAGTCTTAAAGGAGGTTTTAGATGTAAATTGGTAAGGATTGCCATTGTCAACTGGGGAAGCTCTCTCTAGTGGTGGTGGTCGCGGCTCTGCAAACAGCCAGCTGCCTCTGCTGGGCCAAAGCCATGGAGAGGAATACCCAGCAGCC